GGTAAAAAAAAAAAAAGACCGTCACTTGATCAAAGAGGTCATGCTATATCGTAACAAATATGTTTGTATATCTCTAGGGAACTCTTTGTACAATATTTAATACATTGAAAATAAAAATAAAACTTTAAAAAAATGCAGTGTTACGTTTTAAACACATTTTAAGCTATGGGATAACACTTTCCTCTTTTTAAAGTGTTCATATTATAGCAATATTTTGCAACTGTAATTCTCTTCTACATTTAGCGAAATTGTTATGCCATCTGGAGAGAGAGAAACATCACTTCTACGCTAAAAATAGATCCAGTTAATGCTATCCATGAACTACTTTCATGGTTCTTCCAATATGCTTTTTGAAGACAATGGTACTCTCTTTGAACTTGAAATTATCATTTAAAAGGAAAATTTATGACATTTTCTCAACAAATGAGATGCTAGAGAGAACATTAATGCACAGTTTGCATCATTTTTTTGGATTTTTTCACCAATGCAGAATTCTGCAGGACAGTTCTAAAGAAGCATATAAAAGCATTTTTCTGCAAAAGTATAGATTATATATGCACAAACATGCATTCGGTTTGGCCATGTTTCACGTATCTTTATCAAAAAGACTTAAAATTTGATCAAAATATAGGATGTATTTTAGCCATTTGAAGAAATGTTTACATTTTGGAAGACAGGACTAAAGGTGGCCTTGCAGAAACCCAGAGAGCGACAGAAAAGAAAGATTTATGGATAAAAGTGGTGGATAAGTCTTCGAAGGTTCCCCAACAACATCCACAGAAGTCTTGGATAGGTGAAGGTGAAGAAATTCCTTAATCAGACAAGAGTAGATGGTCATCTTACAAATGTTACATTAGACTTCACTTTTCACTTCTCAATAGGATTCATTATACTACTGTAATCACCACATTTGCTTTTACTTTCACATCTCTATAGGAATCATAATTATTACTGAGAAGTAATACTATTACCTCTTCAGGATATACATATGCTGTGTGTTTCTTTGGTTAAATGTATATGAAAGGCCTTCCGTTGGAAAAATCTTGCAGAAATCTAGAGTCTTGAATCAAACTAAATGAAACATACTGCTCGATTCCTCTATTTTAGTTTACTGTTAACGGTTGTTCATACAGACGGCAAATCTTTTTTCGGAACGTTAATTTTGTAATCCAAGCCAAGTAACAAAACAATAAGCAATTTGTGAGAGGAAGAAAAATATTGCTAAAGAAATCATTGAATAAAAAACAGGAAGTTTTAATCAACAAGTTACCTTGCCAGAAAAAGGAAGACCCATTGTTTGATCAAGAAATAGCAGAAATTTCTTACAGTAAATAATCTACATTCCTAAAGATATAATTCTTTTAAAAAGTCATGTTTGATGCACAATATACGCACAGTAGACAAAATTGATAACACGCCACTCGTTCTTCTTTTTTGTGAATTGAACATTTGCCTTATCGGTATAAGTAAATATAATACACCATCTTTTCCACACAATCTTCGTGTCATGACAAAACCACAAACTGACATTGCCTGAAATTCATTTCCCGACATGCAATGCGTACCTTTTTTGTCCTGATTACAGATAATGATCCTTCAGATTACACCAGAAGTAGTCTCCCAGTTAAAAATCAAATAATTTGCAACGACTTTTAAATATCGCCTGCTAGTCATCCAGTGCCTTGGTGTACACCCTAACAAAAAAATACTATAGTAAACTATAGTTAACTATAGTTTACTATAGTAAATCAAAGTTCCAAAGTTTTCGCCATAGTAAATCAAAGTTCCAAAGTTTTCACCATAGTAAATCAAAGTTCCAAAGTTTTCACCATAGTAAATCAAAGTTCCAAAGTTTTTGTATAGTAAATCAAAGTTTTATTAAGTTATTTTTAGTAAATCAAAGTTCCAAAGTTTTTACTATAGTAAATCAAAGTTCCAAAGTTTTTACTACAGTAAATCAAAGTTCCAAAGTTTTTACTATAGTAAATCGAAGTTTCAAAGTTTTTACCAAGGTAAATCAAAGTTTTAAAGTTTTTGTATTTTGTTTTATTAAATTTTTATTATTAGTCTTTTTTAAGGGGGATGATATTGGTTTGTTTAGGCTGGTTTTGTTGTTCATCTTAATTTAAATATTCAAAGTAATTAATTTAAATTCAATATTTACATTTAATAGTAGAAAAAAAATTATCTGAAGTTAAGGAGGCAAATATTTTGATTATAAGTGATGGAATTTTTATCTTATAATAATTTTTCCCATAAATAATAATAAATATTGCTTATTTATCGGTGCAAGAGACAATTTGTACATTAAAATTCATTTCTTGTGCTTCGTTCTTTTAGGGGACAGGTCGTATTTTTAAAACGATCTCTGAAACTTTAATGAATCTTAGTCTTGAAATGGACTGAATGGCAAGCAAAAAAATATAATTCCAAGGGTTTTATAGTACTTAATCAAAGTTTTCACTTAAGTAAATCAAAGTTCCAAAGTTTTTACCATAGTAAATCAAAGTTCCAAAGTTTTCACTATAGATAATCAAAGTTCCAAAGTTTTTACTATAGTTAATAAAAATTCCAAAGTTTTCACTATAGTAAATCAAAGTTCCAAAGTTTTCACCATAGTAAATCAAAGTTCCAAAGTTTTAACTTTGGTACTATAGTTAACTATAGTAAACTATAGTTAACTATAGTTTACAATAATATTTTTTTGTAAGGGCATACCCAGTGCACCCAACAACGGGTTGCCCCAATTCTGTCGAAAAACATTGAAATTCTGGTGTGGTGTTTACTTTATGATCTGGCTATCTATAGTAAACATTTTATGATTATTAATCTATTTGCAACAATTTTTCATTAGAAGAAGAAATATTTTTTTCATTATTTCAATATTTTACAATGTATCTTTCCAAAAAACTCCTACAGGTACAAAACTGTCGGTTTAGCAGGCTCTTCTAGGATCAGTACCGCATAAGGTGTCGTGTTTTTTTTCTGATTTTTTTATTAGTACAATAAAATAAAACTAAAAGCAAAGAAAAAAAGAAAGGATCACTTCATTATAAATAGGGATCTGACCTATAGGACCGGGCTTATGGTGTTTTCTCTACAAAAAGCTTCGATAAATGACATTAGGCTGAATACATATAAAAATTGTTTTTCCTAAATCTTTATTTTAGTGACTTGAGGTAGGAGGAACCCTGAATTAATTTTCTGATTCTCCAAATGTAATAATTGATATTTGTTTTTACTTCTCATTGTGCATTATGGTAATGTCTACTGTCTCTGAAATTCTATTCGTAATGTCTAGGCTATTTTTCCGTGGATATGTACTCTTCAAAAAAAGAAAAGTATAGTAGGAACACTGCCCTGAGAAATATATGATAGTTTTGTCATACCTTTTAATTTTATATGGATATGACGTATTCGAGTGAAATGTGTGATTTTTTAATGCAATTGCTGACTTTACAGCTACATGTATTCTACAAGTCTCACAGACAAAAAGACCTGATTTTGCAAAATTTCCCCCAATGTTTTGATCTTAATTTTCATTTGTTGAATTCTGATGCAACTCCTTATGTACAAAGGGGCTATCAAAAGCAGAGGTTCTCGATATTTTGAATCTGATTTTATCTGAAAAATGACTTTTCCTTAAAATGCTGCATCTGAATGTTGCATAGCACAAAAAGGAAAATGGGCGACTGGAAGCAGGGGTACCACAATCTACAATTGCAAGAGGTTTTAATGTTACGCACATCGCCATATCTAAGCTATAAAACATAATCCATTAACATCGAACACCCAAAGTTCGCAAAAAAAATGGTAAAGTATAGTAAAGTAATTATGACATTTAGATAGTATTCCTGTTGCTAACCACATTTCTGTTTTATCAATGCATCGTTTTCTAAATAATGTTTATGTTCAATGTGTCACTCAAATTCTACTATGCGTTTCTTTTTTTGAAGAGTATAATAAAACATGTTATTAATGTGTGTAAATTATGTAGGCTTAAATGAAATCCAAGGGAGTACATTTACTGATATGTGAAGCCAAAATCAATGTGAATAACTTCTAAGCAATATCTATATATTGAAATCCAACGGGTCTCAATGCTGCCAATAATACCTGTATTTAGTAACACAGAGTGAGTTATTCTTGTCCTCGGAGAAAATGTGCTTATACTAAGGTTTGTTACGCCTTACTTACAACTGTACATTGGATTAATTGTTACGATTTGATATCTTTTTAGTGTTTTTACTCCCTTACCGGTGAAACCGGAGGGGACTGTAGGTTTCCTCTGCGTCTGTTCGTCTGTCCGTCTGTCTGTCTAGCTGTCCGTCCGTCCATCTAGCAGTCCCCGTCCGTCTGTCAGTCTGTCCTACTTGGTTTTCCGCACTTTATTTCTAACCGCTTGTATATATTAAGCTGAAATTTGGTATATGGGTTTATCTTGACGAGACGGAGTGATGGACGAAGGATCGACAAAGGGTGATCAGAAAATCTCAATTTATATTTCAACTCAGGTGAGCTAAAATTAAACAATAGTCGATAGTCGAAGAAAAGTCGATTCTTCGTATCCCTATCATAAACAAATGGAGTTTGTGCATGACAAAAGATTGAGCGTATTAAACAACACCCTCCGACATGCTCGATTTCTCAAAAGGGGAATTTTTTCAGAGACGTTTCAGTCTCTGACAGTTAAAGCTATGCAATGTCAGAAACTGTCCTTTTGAACAATGCTGTTGCCAACACGTTTGTGTAATCAACACCAAGTAACTAGAATAAGCCACTTGTGAGAGTAAGAAAAAATATTACTAAAGAGTTCCTTGTCAATGAATAAAATACAGGAAGTTTTAATCAACAAGTTGCCATGCCTGAAAAGGGAAGACCCATTGTTTGATCAAAAACTCGTCAAAAAAACTTTTTTTAAAAACAAACTCGACATGAACTATTTTCTCATTTAAAACAATTACAAACAAAACCAATCAACATCTTTTCCTAATTCATCAGTTAATTTATTCCTAGCTCACTAGATGTGACAAACAAAACAAGTCGATGTCGCAATTCCTATTTACAAAGCATTCATTCTACTCCAAATATATGAATATTTTTACATAACCAGTCACTTCCTCTGTTATCCAAACTCTGTCTTCTTTGTCAACTTTTAAACCCCTTGGGGCAGAAATACCCTCCCTTGCTGTAAGCACATATTTTATAAGATTACCATCAATGTCCAGTAAATGAACTAGATTGTTCATGGAGTCCGAAGCAGCAATGTTTCCTAGACTGTCAGTATCTAGTTCGGTAGGTTCAAATTTTTTTCTATTCTTATAAAAGCCCCCACCACTATAGGCAAATCGAAAGAGACCAGTTCTATCAACAACGACAATAGAATGTTTGTAAACATCTGATACGCAAACGTCTTGGTTGAGATTTTCGGAAATACAAATAGGTCTGCTATACAAATGTTTTTCTTCATCGTCTTTCATTATTTCCTGCAGTGTTACTCCCTTGAAGCTCATTCGCAAAACCTTTCCACGGTCAGAAGTGTCTTTGGTGTTCCCTTGTAGAAAAGCAACGCATACGAGAATGTGACCGCTTCGACTGATGCACAGTCCCATCGGATACCAGTCCAAACTGATGGCTGCTTCTTCTTGCAAATCTTTGGATACTTTTTTCACCATTTTACTATGTAAATCACTGAAAAATATGCTTCCGTCGTCTAACTCGATAAGACCTGAGGGCCGCCCTAGTTTTGTGACAGTCTTGACAGTGGCCTTTTCATTACCTTGTATGTCTACTTTCTTAATTTCTGCTTCGTCACCACGAATCCAAGCAAGGTCAACATGTAATCTAGAACAGGCTAAACCCATAGGTTGCTGTATCGCAGATTTAAATCTTGCTACTTCTCCTGCTGACTTCATGATTTGTTTTCTGCCCTGAACTACCATAGTAGAAGGAAGGTGCAAGCCAAAAAATTGTCTTAATTCATCCGGAAATTGCTTTGTTACATCGATCACAGAAGGTTTGAAATCAAATTTCAGAAACTTTTTATCATCACTGGAAACTTCGAGATTGTTCCTGGTATACAGAATCAGGTCTGTCATACATTTGGAGTCTCTATCTTGTAACATCATATTCTGAAGTTTTCTTAAAGAAGAGAGGTGTTCTGTAACTTCTTCTTTATAAGATAGGATGAGTTTGATAGCATGTTCTTTCTCCTTAGATATTTTCTGTAAAACATCTTTCTCAATTTCATGAACAAAGTCTGCAATTTCTTTTGATCGGCTTATAACAGCTTGTTCAACGTCGTTTGTCCGTTTGTTAATGTCACTTAAAATATTGTCAAGATCATCTAGCTGTTCCCTGTGCTTTGCATAGTGAGATGTCTCCATTCTTTCTACTTTTGCTGTTATTTTGCCTTTAGCCTCAATGTAAGCACTAGAAATGTCTGTCATTTTGTGACCATTGTGAACTCCAGCTATGCATTTTGTACACACTGGTATGGTACAATCTTGACAACACAACTCATATTTGCTCTCTGGATGCTCGCTGCAATACCCATATCCATCTTTTTCTATTTGTCTTGTTAGCGTCATTTTGACAACATCATGACGGTAGAAAATCTTCTTGCCTTTGTGTTCTGTAGTGCACTTATCACACAGATTTCCACTGCAAGTACGGCAGAAGGACTGTGCCGGTTCGTTTTCACAGAGATCACACAAAACTGCAGATAAACCAATTCCACCTTCGGCCATATTTCACTTGTACCTAAAAAGAAAATGAGAAGAAAACTTTGGAACTTTGAATTACTTTAGTTACCTATAGTTTACTATAGTATTTTTTGTTAGGGTTGCGGCTCCATCTTTCCCACGGTGTTATGATTTAAACAAAATTGAATCTATACAACATGAGGATGCTTTCATATAAACATTATCAATCGTAGTTCTTGTTTAAAAGAAGATTCTTAAAGACTTTTGTTGTATATTTCCAATTTGCTGTGTAGCACTTAGATCTACCATTGTAGCAACACCTTTCCCATGGGGTCATGATTTAAACAATGTTGAATCTACACTACATGAGGATGCTTTCACATAAATATTATCAATCATGATTCTAATAATGATTCTTGTTCAAAATTAATAGATTTTTAAAGATTTTTCTTGTATATTTCTAATCTCCTATGTAAAACTTTGACCAACCATTGTGGCTCCACCCTACCCCCGGGGGTCATGATTTGAACAAATTTGAAATTACCTGAGTATGTTTCCTTATAAATGTGACCAATCATGGCTCTCTTGTTCTTGAGAAGATTTTTTTCATATAAATTCCAATGTAAAACTTTCATCATCCATTATGTCTCCATCCTACCCCCGGTGTTCATGATTTAAACAAAATTGAATCTACACTATCTGAAAAGACTTCAACAAGTTTTATCTTTCCCAACCCAGAGGTTCTTGAAAAGAAGAAAACATGCCACCAAATTTTCCCTCCTTCTTAATCATCTCCTCTTGAAAGAGGACATGGCGCTTTATTTGAATAAAGTTAAATCTCCTTCATCCAAGGATGCTTTGTAGCATGTTTGGTTGAAATTGGCCTAGTGATTCTGAGAAGTCAAAAATATGAGACCGACAGACAGACGGACTAAAGACAAAATGTGATAAGAAAGGCTCACTTGAGATTTCAGCTCAAGTGAGCGAGAAACCTTTTCAAAGAATTTTATGCAGAGCAAAATATGAAATGAGTTACAATGCAGTTTCCAGCGGAGAAATGCATATTCCTCCACCATTCAAATTCGCAGATTCAGCTGAGAATTTACCTGCATAGTGAAACCATGGGGCCTATTCAATAGAGCGAACTTTCGCAACCGATCGCCAAACTTCATTTTACTTCCAAAAGAAATGTTTGCGAGTGCTCGCTTTGTTGAACAGGCCTCAAATTCAGTCGAAATGACGATAACTTAGGTAGCGGGATATAAACGTATACCACTAGAGAGGGGAAGCCACTCTCTACCATCGGATAATATATTCATATATATCTGGGAGAGTAACAAACAACATCTGTGCATAGGATATTGAGTGGAGCTTATTTTAAGATCTTAATTTAGTAAAAGGATACAGGCCAAAACAAGATATATTCTTCAAGAACAAAGAATGGACAGTTTGGGACCTTTAACCTGCTGAAAACATTAAATTTACTTTTTTTATGTTTACAATGTACTTTCATTTTTCTTCCTCATATATATCATACTCACATTGTAGTAAGTATTGTCTACCTATTAGACAGGCTCGAGTAAACGTTGTTCAGAAACAAATGAAAGTTACATTTAATATTGATTTGGTTCATTTAGTGGACAGTTACAGGTAGTTTTGAAATTTCTCGAGTTACGAAGTATAGCGTACGGAGTATAACGAGAAATAATTTTCCTTATGACATGTAAACAAATTGTTTGAATCGAAAGGGGAGTCTTGATACCGGGTAAATGTTTACTGTGTAATGGCCAATGAAAAAGGGTTTTAAGTAAAGACGTGTTCGAATGGATTAAAAAGATTTCTACAATGAAGCGCATTGAAGTGGTAAAATTTTCCGTTTGGATGAAACGTTCTGAGTCATGTTTTGAACGTCAATTATAACATAACGACACGCCCATTTCTTTAGAAACGAGAAAGGATTTTTTGTCGTAATGTTTTAGGACACTACACTTTCCGTGACTTGCAACATGAGTTACACTGAAATGAAGATTTTTAAATAAGAAAAAAGCTATATATAGAGTCCTTGCTTTGGTAAAACACGCATTGCAACGAATTTGTACATAATAATGATTTTATCATGTTTATTGGAGTTAGCATAGTATATGTATCAGTCGAACACGTGCTTACTCGGTGTTTATGTAGACCGTCAATTTCATTGGCTACTATATTTATGAAATACCTGTTCTGCAGGTATTCGATTGAATCATTTGACCGATATTTCTTTTCTAAAGAAATGGGCGTATCTAAAGATAGCTCAAAACGTTCGATCCAAACAGAAAATTTATTCAATTTTTGTACTTTTAACCATTAAAATTGTATGGGCAGGCAGACTTTAACAAAGAGAAAACAAAGAAATGGAATTTTTATTAGAATGATGCATAATTTTGATATGTATATTTAATATTTTACATTGTATTTTGTAGATTGTAATGTGGAAATTACTTCTTGGGGTCTGCTTCCAGTGCATCTCTGATAAATTCGCGTGTTTATTGTACATATCGCAAATAAACTGGTTGATAGGCGCTCATCACATTCTGTATCTGTGTTCTGTTGTTTATTCACTAAGATACTTAGAATAAAAATATTTTCTGTTCGGATGAGTGAAACGAAGGAGAACATAACTAATGTGAAAAAAAAAACAAGCGAGGAATTTCTCCCCGGGCAGTATGGGGTTTTCCAGCCTAAGTACAAACTAAGTATAAACTTTTTAAGATATGTTACAAACACGGTTCAAAAGAAAACCAAAGTATTCGGTTTCATTCCAACTGAAATTTTTTCCAACTTCAGTGTGCTTTATTGTTCCTGTTTATATTGTTGTAGGACAATAAAGGTATCCTGTAACAAGAACCATCTCCATCTCAGGTAAGCCAGTCAGGGAACTTTTCTTTTTAGTCAGGCCGTGGGCTGGTTAATTGTCTGGTTACTGGATCTGTTTGTAAACTCCCGGGATCGTTCTTCGCTTTTAAGCATGTGAGAGGTTTTCTTTACTGCAATTTTTGTTATGATAAAGAGACAAATATGCAATAGAATCTACATGCACCAACGCTTTTGTACCTATGCGGAAAACTGTTAAGACGAGGTTTTTAAAGTAGCCAAATCTGCTAAGGATTAAAAAATGTTGAAAGCATTTTTTTCAGTGAGTGCCCTATTATTTTTTTAAAACATTATCACAGAGAAGAAAATCCTCTGGCTGACTCTCTAAACTTTTTATAAAAGCTAAACTTGTTAGAAATGTATTGCGTTCATTTTGTGCCTCATTGATTCTTTCGCCACCAATTTCACTAACCGCTTCCTTCGTAGGAACAAATGAGAAGCTAAGACAATGGATTACGATGCCCTCATTAAGAAGCTGGGAACTTTTGGTCCTTATCAGAAGCGTCTTTTTTTCATCGTTTTCTTTCCAGTAATATTCAATTCCTTTGGTACGCCAGTTTCAAATTTTTTACTTGGAGACCAACTCTATAGGTAAGAAAGATGTTAAGTTTCTATGGATAAGCATTGTAATTCTTGCTAATGCTAAAGAACAATTTTATGTCAATGGTCTACCTTTCAAAATACTCAAATCTTGGGCGCATGAAATTTTTGATCAATATTTATTAGCTCAGTTGATGGAAATTAAGTTTAGATTTACTTCCACTCAGTAAATTTACAGCATGACATAATTCTCTACTCAACGCATAACACTATGACACAATTTTCTACTTTACGTACAGAAGTATGACAATTTTCAACTCAGTGCGTAAAAGTTTGACAAATTTTCAACTCAACGTGTAAAAGTATGACACAATTTTCAACTCTACATGTAACAATATGACACAATAATCCACACGTAAGAATATGACACAATTTTTAACTCAGCGTGTAAAAGCATGACACAATTTTCTACTCTACGTATAAAAGTATGACACAATTTTCAACTCAACGTGTAACAATATGACAAAATTTTCTACTTTATGTGTAAAAGTATGACCCATGTGTGAGTGGAAAAATGCGAGTTTTATAAGAATCAACACTTTCCTGATCAAAAATACCGATAAAACCAGAGGTACTGTGAGCATTGAGCTTACTAAATCATACCCCCGCCTCCCATATGAATATAATGCCACAGTCCATGTTTCGCTCTGGGAAACCCGAACCATTAGGTATCGTGTCACATCAAAAAGTAGAAGTAAAAATGATATATCACCCACAAAGACACCGAAAGCGGGGGACCACAATTCTTTGAATTTGCTAGTTTTATATTTTTATTTGATCTGCTTCATGTTTTGTTTGTTAAGAATGAGTAAAAAAATACTAAAGTAAATATTTGATAAATTATCATAAAGGGAAGGAAATCCTTGAAAAACTTTAACCAGCAGAAATAATAATCATTTTAATATGCAGATATCCTTAGTGCAGATTAAAAACCATGGCCCCAAGGGATAGGTGTATTGGGCCAATATAGGGGTTAAATAAATAAAAAAAATTATTTAAATGTTCCCAAGAATCTCGGAGCTTATGATAAGTTAAATTCAAATGTTTCTATCTCTTTTTGTTGTCCCCCGCTTCGAGAAAGCGAGGGGACATTAAATCTCATTCGTCTGTCCGTCAGTCTGTCTAGCTGTCCGTCCGTCACAAAATCTTTAACCTTTCTCATAACTTTTGATTCAGTCAAAAGTAGATCAATCTCCAAGGTCAAGGGTCAAAGTTCTTGGTACCCAATGAAAGGTCTTCTCACATTACATATGTGAAGTACGAGAGCCCTAGCCCTTACCTTCAAAAGTTAGGGGTAAAGGGGT